CCACAGGATGGATGGAAGCAACATTGAGCTGGCGTGTTGCGGTTTTAGGCTGGTGCCAGGATCTGTCAGTGGACTGAGACTGATTTCAGCGTTAGGGTCCACCTGGACCCCTGCTCCCACTGAAATTTTATAGGATCTTTTCCTCCATTTTCTGTCACCCACAGAAAGAAAACTTTAGACTAATTTGGAGTTAATGGCAGAGCTGAACTCCTTAACCAAATTTTATAAAAAGAGATTACATGATCTGTGTGTGAGTCTAAGAATTTATCGTAAGTTTGTTTCCATTTAATTTAGATAATAAAATTTGGTAGAGAGAAATATCTAAACAGGAATTATGGTATAATGTTTCATAAGGCCTAATATAAATATTTGTTGTCACACTTGTAAATGTGTTTTTTTATAAAATTATTTGAATTTGTTTGTTCTCTTACATCAGGAAAAGAATGAAAGATACCTTCTACTCTTCCCAAATATTTTGCTAATGTTGTCTGCCAGTCCTAGGATGAGTGGTTTTATATATCAGGTAAAATCCATTTTAAATTTGTTTATTGTGAATCTGAAAATCATTTCCAGGCTTGCTTTGAATCTTTGAGTTAAATACCCCACCTGTCCGTGTGTTACGTGCCGTGTTACATGTGTGGTGTCACGTTCAAGTACGTACATGCCACTCCTGTCTGTGTTTCGATGTGACCGCAAATTGACCCTTGTGTTAATCCGAAGCAAAAAAAGAAGGAAACAAGTGACATTTGTAGAGCTAGCCCTGCGGACACAGACTGCGGAGGGGCAAGGCCAGCTCGATCCCCACCTGCAGCAGGTCCTGCAGTCGCCCCTTCTTCCCCGGCGGCTGGTGGGGCTGGCCTGAGCGCGGCCCGATGGTGTGAGCAGTGCACGGCCGAGGGTCAGCGCGCAGATGCCAGGTGGTGTGAGCGGTGGCCGGTGATCATTTACCCTTTTCTAATTTTAATCATTTTTCCTATTTTCTTTGAGAAGATGCGCGAGCTGATTTTAGAAGGAAGTGCAACGGAAGATCTTCGTCTAGGCTAATTTAAAATGTGGCATTAAGTGCCTTACATTTTCTCTGCGCGTCTCGCAGGTGCTTCTGGCAAGGTCTGCTCCTTTTTCCTGTGTTGTTATAGAAGCCACTGCCTTTCCCATCGAGTTTTCAAGGCCTAATGAGGCCCAGGTGCTGGTTG